TCAAAGCATTAGCAACCCGTTTTCGATTGGACGACCCATCGTCGTCATCCCTCTCAACGTCAACCCCTAAACCGTTCTCCACAATCAGCTTCGCATTCAAGGATTGGTCGAAAACAAACGGCAAAAGTACAAGAACATGCCCATATTGCATAGTTTCGATAATCGAACCCCACCCCGCATGAAATAGGGACCCGCCGATTGAAGGATGCCCGAGGATCTCCCTCTGTGGGGCCCACCCTAAGTGCACTACCCCTTGCTCCGCCGTACGTTGGCGAAACCCTAGCGGCAACAATTCATCATCGTCGCAGTTTTCGTCGGGTTTTCTCAATGCCCATATAAACGGTACATCGGAGAGTTCGACCCCGTGAGCAATCTCGTGGATTTGTTCTTTGTTGAGCTTAGTCTCACTCCCAAACCCTACAAAAACCACTGACCTAGGCTTCTGTCGGTCGAGCCAGTTAAAAATCGGTGTGTCTGACGGGTTTATAGTATGATCCGGTTTTTCCGGTGGGAGAAGACCCACCGGAAAAACCGGCTTTCCAGCGAGTTTCGCGAATAGTTCGACGTATTCGGATTCGAACTCCGCACACGTGCGGATGCAGACTGCGCGGCTCGCCTGGAGAAGTCTGATCAGTCGATCGCCGTCTGCGATTCCGGAGGCGTTTACCTTGTAGAAAACGTTGTGCATAGCGATAGCTTCGTTTTTTCTCGTGTAAGCTACCTTCGATGGGAAATCGATCCAATCCGGCGGGACCATTAAATCCTCCGGCAACTGTCTGGCCTGCCTCCGTTGGTAGCCGGTGAGAAACTCCGGTATCCAGAAGAAGGTGGCGGCACTGGCGGTGAAGACATAGTTTATGATGACCGGGATGTTCAAATCTCGGCCGATGTCGATTGCCCAATGGGGGAAGAAATCGACTATGATCCAATTCGGCGACTTCTTCGCAATGAAATCTTTGATAGGTCGTTGGAGGAGATCGCATGCGATTTTAAGGTCGTCCATTTTGTCGGCGGGGATGTCGATGGTGGCTTCGGCATTTTCGGGGAGGTGATCGGAATATTCTAGTGGGAGAGGTATAAAATCTATGAGTGATGATAGATTTGGTGGGATTTTGGGAAGTCTTTGGATATTTCTTGGGGTTGAAAGAAAGGAAATATGGATGTTGGATTTGGCTAAGGCAATTGAGAGTTCCAAAAATGGAATCATGTGTCCAAATGCTAACCATGGTACCATCACTACATGAACCTCCTCTTCTTTCTTACTCATCTCTCTCTCTCTCTCTCTCTCTCTCTCTCTCTCTCTCTCTCTCTCTTTACATTTGTGTGTGTGTGAGTGTGAAATATATAGAAGGAAGAGACACACAATTCACGCAAGAATAAATATAGTATTGCATAATAGGACGTCTTATTTGACAATTAGGTTGTAGCTTGGTAGGTGCCATTATTTTTATGAACTTAGTGCTTGATGACAATAACAATAATAATATTTACTAATAATAGTAGTGGCAAGTTACTGTCAATCCTCTAAGTTATGGTTAAATTACGAAAACTCTCCTTATGTTTGGATAATTACAGTCACCCCTTAAATATGAATCATCTTACAAAAAGAATCCCTCCAAGGTAAATTTAGGGATATTAAATCGGTAGAATTGAAACGAAATGTCGGTACGCCAACATTTCATGCCGTGTACCGAACTGAATATACAATTTTGGTTCGTTAAATAATCAAATTACATAAATTTAATATAAAAATATTTAAAAAGAGAGAGGTGGTTGTGTTACCCAAATAAGAGTACTTGTTCCATAATTTGGCTGAAGTAGTAAATAATTATTGTAAGAATTATTAATTGGATGCTACCAAATACCGATGACGCTAACATGTGAGGGCGGCGCGTTGAATTTTGAATTGGGTTTTAATTTAATATTTCTATACATTATATTATGATTATCACCATGTGAAATTTTCTTAATTGTCGCAAGAAATTCAATTTAAAATGCATACTTGAAGATATGCAGATAAGACAAACCAATTGAATTTTGTAAATGGGATATTAGTTTAAATTCGAAAAAAAAGTAAATTAAATTTCTATAACAATATTTTTTTTTAAAGTTCAACACATTTAAGTAAAACATGGTGCATCAATCATCATGCATGTTCATACATTCAGACAAGAGAAACAGCTTCTAACAGAATATAAAGGCTACTCCGAATTCGATCCAGCTCGTTTCGTACAACAATATATAGTGTGTATATAGAGTCGAATAAAAACATATATATATATATATATATATCCGCTACAATTATTTCTCGTTACTAATTAGAGGTTTTATTACAAATATTCCTTAGTGAGTCGGTGGGTCGGGGTTGAATTTTACGGATTCTCTCCAGATAAGCTCCTTGATATTTTCTTCAGTAAAAGATGGCTGCTCAAAATCGAAAACGAAAGGCTTAGGGCAAACTGGCTCCTCGTTTATATCGTGTAGTGGCGCCAAATATGGATGATCCAGCGCCTCGTTAACTGCAGCAAATCACCATTAATAAACCACATTTAATTGCCAATAAATAAAATTCAAGAAAATAAAAATTAAAGTGGAAAGGCGGATGGATCGCATACCAGTAATACGCCTGGTCGGGTCAAAAACGAGCATTTTCTCTAATAAATCGAGGGCTCCAGCAGATTTATTAGGAAATCTTGCAGCAAATTGCTGCCTCGGGTATTGTGGGAGCTGCCTAACGTATCTTCGTGCATTGTCGCTCCTAAGAAATCCGAGACTCGCATCATCTGGAGAGCCAATCAGCTTTATATAGAACAAAAAAAAAAAACGGGAACAGAACATCAGATATCAATACAGACAAACGAGAACTCGCTATAACGGACCACGCGTTAAATTAAAGTAATGTAAGAAATTTAGCATAATTTATGCAACATCGCGAAATCAATTATATTCGCAATTTATTGCAATTGAACCCCTGTGTTATATTGAATTAGCAAAAAGACCCCTATATGATTGTTACGAGTTGATAAAAACAAAATTATATGATTAAAGAGAAAATACCTCGGTGATTAGTCTCAACTGATGAACGTAATCTTTGCCAGGAAATAACGGTTTTCTGGTCATGATTTCACCGAGTATACAACCGACGGACCATATATCTATTGCAGCCGTGTATTCCGAGCAATTAAGGAGCAGTTCTGGCGCTCGATACCAACGAGTAACGACATACTCGGTCATGAAATCGGTCTCGGATGTCGTCCTAGCCAAACCGAAATCTCCGATTTTTAAATCACAATTGGCATTTAGGAGCAAATTGCTCGGTTTTAGGTCACGGTGCAACACATTTGCTGAATGCACGTATTTTAGTCCTCGGAGAATTTGGTAAAGAAAGTACTGCAAAAAAAAAAAAAAAAAAATTCAAAACACAAATAAGAGTAAGGGTAAACCGTCTTTTTACGACAATAGAGGATTAGAAACGAAGGTCAAACCCGACAATTGTCATCGGTCATGAT